TTTATTTTTAATTCTAAATTCGGTGAAGAATTTCAATGTGACCCTGAGGCAAAAGTTGTTCAGTTTATTTTTCTGCATAACATACTTTTTTGCCGGATGTTTTGGATTTTTTTTTTTCTTTTTTTTTGCTGGGACCTTCCCTGGTCATTGCACGGGATGGCCACCCCGGGCCTGGGCAGCCTGGCTGGTAGCCTAGGATTTGGGCACTTTTTTCAAAACCGGTTTCCCGGTTCAACCCCCCCTGGCCTGATGCAGCTCCGGTTGGACCGGGGTAGCTAAACCAGCCGGTTGCCGGCCCAGCACTGATAATTTTATAATTTTATAATTTTATACACATATGCGCATACGCCGCATAGAAATAGATGCACGGCAAAGACTGTTCCACACCGGACACACAATCGGAAGGGTTTAAGATGCTGAGATAGGGCGGAACAGATGGCTCCCATCATCATCGATAAGTCAAACGGCCTTACACCCTCTACAGTTGCAGGGAAGAACTTAAAAAGTACCCTGGGATCTCAGTCATCGGGTTTTACCAGTGGAGGTACAATAGGGATGGGGTGCCGTCAGGAGGAATAGGGGAGGGTTTAGGGTTTAAGGATCTTAGTCTTTGGGTAACGGCTCAGGAGCTTATGGTTGAAAGGTTTGGCCAGTCGGAACGGCTCAAGACAGTAGTCTTAGGCAGATGGTAACTGGTCAAGAGTGCTGAGGTTAGGGACGGACTGAATCAACGGAGACAGGGTGGAGGCTGATTGGTAGACATTAAGGGGTTTTAGGAAAAAAGGAAATGTTGCATCTACCTAGTCAGAAAATAGGGGGGTTCAGGGCGTGTTGAGGGGTGGGGGTTGTGGAAGTGGCTAGATCCTTTCTTGGTATTCGGGCCCTATACGGCAGGTTAGTCTGGCAGACGTGAGAGGAAAGGGTATAGTACAGCAAGCTGACAGTCAATCCTCCATATGAATGGAACAATCAATGATGGTCAGGGGTCCTTTGGCCGTACGGAAGGAAGCGTGTGTCTGTAATTATGATGCATTATCCTTTTGACTTGCCAGTGGAGTAGGAACCGGACTGATGCTCCCCAGAATGGAAAAGGAGCCTGGGCGATAAGGTCCAGTTTTGTAAGAAAAAAAAAAAGAAAAAAAAAAAAAGATGTACCTACCTTCCGCCATGGTGAACCACTGCGTCAAAATGAGGCAGCAACACCCTATGTGAAAGTGACCTGCACTCAAATTTGCATTCATGCAATTCACAGCCCAAAGACCACAGAACCCGACCTCCGATTCAATGATTCAATAATTTCAATTTCATTCAAATCAGTTTAGAGGATTCTGCACAGAACAATAGTTGCATAAACTGCATGCCAACCCTGTCCACAATAACAGAAATGTCAAATAATCAATTGCTGTTCAGAGTCTTCACAAATGTGAGAACTGAGAAGTCATCTTTTGACACCACTTCTGATTCGAGGATTCAATAACTCCTAATTTTTTCTTTTTTTTTTCATAAAACAGGTCCTTATGGCCCTGGCTCCATTTCCATTCCGGGGAGCATCAGTCCGGTTCCTATTCCACCGACAAGTCCGAACAAAGTATTACATCATCAAACACACTCAACGTTTCCTTCCGTCTGGCCGAAGGAACCCTGACCAGCATTGATTACTCCAGCATCCTGAATCGACTGTCAGCTTGCCTTACTTCCACCTTTCCTCTCAGGTCCACTGTATGAACCTGTCAGATAAATGATAAAGAGCAAGAAAGGTAAAGGAAGCTATGGAAGATGAATCTCGGAATTTGCCCTTCAATATTACATGCCCTGTGATCGATCTTGTCCGTCTGCTGGCTGGGATCTCTGCCTTCCCCACCCTGCTTCTGAGTTGTGCCAGTCTTTCCACCATATGCGAACGTCGTTTCTCTGCTACTTTGCCTCCACACCTTAGTGAATTTTGCCTTGATTCTTGTCTGTTGTTCCTCGTCATCTGGCATAGAGCGTCTCGCCTTATGCCACTTACAAAGAATCTCCACCTGAATCAAGGTCCTTGTCTTCAATAATTCCCATTTCAAAATTCAAATCAGTTTAGAGGATCCCGTAGAAAAATAGTTGCTAGACTGCCTTTGGGAACCTTGTCCACGATAATACGTACAATCAATTGCTCTTCACAAGCTTGAAAAACCGTCTTTGTTACACTAAAAAGTAGTAAAAACTAGTAAAAAGGCAAATTTCAAGCACCTCTACAGGTGCTTGAGAGGTGCTTGAAAACTTCTTTATTTGCCTCCGTGAGGACATACTCACACTGGCATGCAAAATTGGAAAATTTGTGTTACTTCTTAAAAAAAAAAAAGAAAAAAAAAAAGGCAAATTCGAAATTTCACATCAAAACTCTCCCTTGTCTGCGACCCATGCTTGAGAGGTGCTTGAAAACTTCTTTATTTGCCTCCGTGAGGACATACTCACACTGGCATGCAAAATCGGAAAATTTGTGTTACTTCGTAAAAAAAAAAAAGAAAAAAAAAAGGCAAATTTGAAATTTCACATCAAAACTCTCCCTTGTCTGCGACCCAACACACAAAACATCCAAGTTATGACCATACTATCATCATCATAACAGTAAGCACACTTCATAGTTGCGGCGCACCACGGTGCGTCGGTTTGCGCATGCGTTGCGCACCGCACGCCGCACCGTAGCGCACCGCACCCCAAAAACAAGGGGGCGTGGGAATTTTTTTTTTTGGGGGGGGGTCTTCAGGTTGTGGGCATCCACCCCGGCCAAATTGTCAACCGGGGCGCGCGACTTGGGAAACCGGCCGTGTCCTTCCTCCGAAATTTGTTTTGGGGGAAGGGCCTGCTGAATTCAAAATTCGAATTCGGCAGGCCCTTCCCCCAAAAAACTTTTTGGAGAAGGGGGGCGGCCGGTTTCCCGAATGACGCGCCCCCGTCACCATTCGCACTTTGACACGACGAAGGAGGGAGGGAGAGACGCAACGAAGGACAGAGAACAAAGTGCGCGACGAAGGTGGGGAGCAGCGAGGGGAGGCCGACGAAGGCGGGAGAAGCGGGAGGGTGACGAAGGAGGGAGGGGGGGACACGGCGGAACACCTTTGGCGACAAGCAGCGGCGGGAAGCTGGAGACCGGCGGGCAGCCATGAAAGTGGGCACCCACCAGCTCTCTCTCTCTCTCTCCCTCTCTCTCTCTCTCACACACACACACACACACACACTTGCTTTGTGTGCCAACTGCACTCTTAAAGGGGCCGCTTGGTTCAGGATGTCTGTGTTGCCTATGGGTGATGACGGATGCTCATCGGAGTGTCTCCCTGGCTCAGTGGGTGGTGGGAACCAACAGTCTGCGGGGTTCAATCGTGATCTGAGTAGGTCATGTGCTCCTTTGCTCCGTGTTGGATGTGTGGACGGCCTCGTCTGCGCTCCGCCGCTGCCCTGCTGCCTGTCCAGCTTGCTTCACATGTGGTTCTTTGCAGGTTGATGTGTTGGCTGTGTGGTGTGGCCGTGTGGTTGGTGTTGCCTTGCGCTTCGCTGCTCCACTGCCTTGCTGCCCTTCCGCTGGCCGTGCCTTCCGTGTTTGCTGCTTGTGGGCCTTGTTGCTTGGTTGCCTTGTTGCGGGTGCCTTGTGCTTCGCTCCACGGTTGCCGAGTTGCTGGTCCGCTTGCCGCGCTTGTGTTGCCTTGTGCTTCACTACATGGTTGCCGCGCTGCTTGTCCTGCGCGCCATGTCGTTCCTTGCAGTCGTTTTTGGCGTTGTGCAGCCGTGTTGCCTCTACTGTGTTGCCTGGTGCTCCACAGGGTTGCTGGCCGCTGCTATGTTCCACTTGGGGACAGTCGGCCCTCAACAAGGGTCAAAGGGTTCATGACCCAAACCATCAAACACGGAGATTCCGCAGATTGTCTAGGGTTCAGCCTCCTGACGAGTCGGTGCAACTCTGACGAAACAATCTTCTCATCATCGGTTTTTTATTTTTTATTTTTTTCGGTTTTTTCTGTTTTTGGGGACTTGTATATATTTTTTTTGCTTTGCCTGCTTTCTGTGTTTGAGTGACGTCTGCCCTCCCGCCTCCCCCGTGCCCTCCACCCATTGTCCTTTGCGGCTGCCTGTTGTCTTATGCTTGGGGTATCTTTCTGTACTTACACTTCTCTTGTCTTTCCTTGTTTTGTGCATTTATGTATGGTCTGCCCTTCCACTTCCCCCATGCCCCCCAGCCCTTGTGCCTTTCTGCAGTTTGCTGCCGTTGCCTCCTTGCCTTTTGCCTTATTGTGCTTCCTTTCCCCATCCTGTGGTGTCTGTTGATCGTGTGTGTTCCAGTTCGCCCGCAAAGAGCAGTTGGAGCATGAATTCTCGTGTAGTCCGGCATAGTCATTCCCCTCCTTACAGTATAGGTTTCGTCTGCACCACGCCTACAGGTTCTTGTTCTTGAGCTTGCTCATGTAGTCCGGCATAGTCATTCCCCACCTCTGAGTACCGGATGTGTCTGCACCACGCCTACAAGTTCTTCTTTTTTTTTGTGTGTGTGGTCCGATGGACCACGGATCAGATATTAAACTGATCAGAACAGATACTACACTTGATCTTAGCCAAAAGGCCGAGTTTTCATTCTTAAGGTGCGCCGATATATTATTTCGGATCTTGATTATGATGCGGTTTTCGTATCATACCGCAAACGTGTCATATTATGCGGGGGACACACTCACACACACACTCTCTCTCGTGCACGCACATACACACACTCACTATGACGACACAGGCACATACAAACTCGCCATGACGACACACACACACACACACACACACACACACACACAAAGTTGAAATGACGACAAACACACACACCACATACACACACACATGCACTCTCTCTCTCTCTCTCTCTCTCTCTCTCTCTCTCTCTCTCTCTCTCTCTCTCTCTC